GAACTTTCTCACTCCCTTGACACGCAGATGTACTCTGAGAGTGTGGGTCTGTGCAGGTCTCGAGAAACATTAACAAGTCTCTTGGTCCCCACCAGCTTATGATGACAAAGTTCAAGAAGAGAAGAATATCGAGTGTGTCTCGGGACAGTACTTCATCCAAGGGGACAATGAAAGCGAGGAGAAGAAAGCCTGCCAGTTCAAGCGCTCGCTGCTGCAGAACTGCTCTGGCATTGAGGACCCAACGTTTGGCTACTCTAAAGGCCAGCCCTGCATCCTGCTGAAGATGAACCGGGTACAGAGAAAGCTGGTCGTCTGAATTCTCTCCTTCAGTGCATCCTGGTGTGATAAAGACCATGCAGGGACAGAAATTCCTCCACTTCTCAGGCCCAGGGGAAAAAGGGAACTAGAATCCCAAAACCTGCTGGATCATGCCCACTAGAAAACATTAAAAAAAAAAAAAAAAACACTACAAAACTTGCTCGATTTGGTTTGCTGATACCTGAGTGCTTGGAGGGTCTTGTGCCAGGCCCCTGTGTGGGAGGAACTAAGCTTTAGGGCCCAGATCCCAGACTCTTTATAATGGAAATTTTCATGGAATCAAGTTTATTTGAAATCTTCAAATAGCATGGTGGCTCGGTACATGCTGCTGGGAAAATAAATGCTGGGGGATGTGAACTGTGTGGGGAAGTGACTGTGTTACTCCAGGGAGTCTGGGCTCTCTGGATGCTCTGCTCTGCCTCCATGCTCAGGCACCAATCCTGCACTCAGGCATGGGCAAGTTGCTTCTGGGGCACATAACTCCTGTCCCGAGTAATGTGACGGGCACATAGAAGAGCTTAAGCCATTGCAAAGGGAGGCAGCACGTGCTTGACACTGCACTTCATACAAGCATGGATGTCTTTTGTTTTTGCAGATCATAGGCTATCGCCCTGGTGCCGGAGTCCCTGTGAGTGTGGACTGCAAAGTGCAGGTACTGCGTTCATTTGTGCTCGGCAGCACAGTTGTGCAGAAGGTCAAATCTCTTCCTCTGAAGGACCCCACTGATGTCTGTCTTTGTTTTAACCCCAAACAATCGCAGGGCCCAGCACTGCCAATGCTTCTAGGCGCAAGTGAGGACCGCTCTGAGAAGGACAGAGGCCACCCTGGCCCTCGCCCCCTGAGTGCTGCCAGCTCCTGACAGCCTCTGCTCAGCCCCCAAGGACAGGCCCGCAGGGCTGGGTGCCACCGTGCCAGCAAGAGCCTGGAGCTGCGGGGGGAAGAGGCAGGGGCTGCTCACATCCATCCCCACATGCTCTGCAGGACCCTCGGTCCTGGGGAGCACCCTGTGAGCCAACAGCAATAGGGTGAAGGAAGGGCTCCCGCTGCCCGGGTAGCAGCTGGATCATACCCTTAGAGAGCAATAAAGCAGTAGGCAAGAGCAGGGAATGACCAACAGGCAGCAAATTCCGTAACCCTCGCCCGTGCCTTCATAGCAGCATCACACTCTGGCTCGCTGCAGCAGCAGCCGGCTCTCCCAGCAAACACTCTGTGTGCAGGCAGGCGCAGCTCAGCCCTGACGTGGATTTGCAAGATATGTCTGTATTAAAGCTCCATCACTTTAGTCTGAAGGGAGCTGTATTTTGTGTCCCATGAGCGATGTGTGTACCTTTATTTTTTTTCCAATCACAGAAAGGCAATGAGAGCAATCTCAGATCAGTGGACTTCTACCCTGGAAATGGGACGTTTGATCTCATGTATTATCCCTACTATGGCAAGTTCACGCACGTAAGTAAGGACTCTGGTAACTTTGTTATGTCTCCTTGGGAAGGAGAGAGTAGGAGCTGCTGCACAGAGTACAGATGTGTTTTCTGGCTATTTTGGGCAGATGCAGGCAAGAGAGAGGCCATGGGCACTGGGATTACAGCACTCTATTTCTGTCTCTGACAAACTGTGGGAAATCCTTGGGGACTCTGGTTTCCCCCTTGCCAGCAGTGGGAATGATTATGTATATCATCTGGAAACTAAGACTGGCTTTGTTAACTCTCAGGGAGGGTCTTAACACCAGCATTTTCCCAGGTGTGTAGGGGCACAAGAGGAAAAGGATGGGGCTTACTATCAAACCTATGACAGAGCCACTTCAATGGCTCGAAACAGAGCAGTCCAACATCAGTGGCTATTGCGGACCATGCTGGCCAGCACTGCTTTGGTGTGCACTGACTGGGCTGTACAGTATTAGGAGGTAAGGTACCTTCACAACAAAAGCTGAAATGGAAGATGAAGCAGGCACTAGACTCTATTGTCTTGCTGCTGCTGGCTGAGAATGAGTAACAGCCCCACATGCCAGGTCTGCATGTCCTTTCAGCACACAGATCCAAGGAACACCATAGATTTCTTAATAAAAGTCATAGGTTGTCTTTTAGAACAGTGGAACGTATCTGAGAGTCCCATTATCCAGTGTTGCTTGTCCCGGCTAATCAACCCAAGAGGCGCTGTGCAGTGCAAAACTCTGATGTGATCCCGTCCCTCTGAGGCATGGGCACAGAAAGGCTCAGCTTCAGCACCCCGAGGGACCATGATGGACATCACGCAAACACACGCAGATGCCTGGGAACTGAGAACCAATTACTAATGATATTTACTGAACATGAAAGCACTGCCTGCTTTTCCGCTCCCTTAAAAATTACACTTAAATCTCCCTTCTTTTCAGGTCAACTATACATCCCCACTGGTGGCTATGCACTTTACAGATGTGAAGAAGGATTATTTGGTCCCTATTCAGTGCAGTCTGCATGGGAAAGGTATTATCAACAACCTTAACAGTGACCGCTTCCTGGGCCGAATCATCTTCACACTCAGCATTGGAAAGTAGCCACTGCAAACACTGGGCACTTAGTTTAAGTCAATCAATCAGAGGCTTTTTCCTTTTTAAAGCATAAAGCCAGCATTTTTTCTGCTAGGAAAAACAGGCACATGGAGATTTTTGTTAATTTATTTTTGTTCATAGTTGGGAAACAAATGAGATACAATGGAGCGTGGAACCACCTTTTTCATCATCTGATGTAAATCATTATTAGTAAAAATTAAAAGTTATCTCCTGGGCAGAGAACCTGCATAAGCATTTCAGTTTTGATTAAAAAAACCTCTGGTATCTGAACACTATTTTCATAAGGTCTTTTACAAGTGACCCCCGTGGAATGCATTTTTCCTGGCTTTAAATTTTCATCTTTTCCATAGTTTTATGTGCATTTCTCAGGCAAAAGCTAACAAGAGGGTAGTTTATTAGCACTGTTCTTGTTAAAATAATAAATAGCAAAAATTCTGAATTATGCCTGCAATGATACAGCTAAAAAGTGAAAACGGCAGATCTCAAAATGCCTCCTAGGATCTTCAGCACCAGAAGCATCTTGACTGCAGCATTTTACACAGCATTGTTCAGCACACTCAAGGCGTTGGAGCAAAGGCCATGCAAAAAATCATTTGCCCTTGAACCTTTCCAACTGTTTCTTTCTGAAGTTGGAAGATTAATGCATTTCTCCCTCTTCCTCCTCACTCCAGCACTTCTCTCTGCCCCAGGAATCCTCATTAAGTCTATTAGGCAGTGACAAGTGAAAAGAGCTCTTCTCACCCTGTCACAGATCACAGGTTGACGGCTTCTCCTTCCCCTGTTCAGGCACTGAAGTGCCAGTGAAACATGTTAGACCCCCCCCAAAATATTTCAGGCCTGTTCTTCCCTGTGCTAGAGATGTCACAGATATAATGCTGCAGAAAACCACAGGCAAAGGCTTAGTCGCTTCATTGTTAAGGGGTCAATGCTGGTATTAATCACCAATTTATCACCCTCAAAGACCTGTGAAGCACACTTGCCCTTGTCAGAGCCGAGTGCTGCTAACCTGAGCAACCTCAGCTGCATGGGCAGCCTGACCCTCCCCGGCCCGTGAGCACAGAGCCTTCGTATCTGACAGAGATGAACTACACTCTGCATGTTACGAGCTATGAGAACACAGCAGGACAGGACACCTTAGGATAATGTACTAGTTGGAAAGCACACTTACTAAAATTACTGACTGAACAAGAGCATTATGGTATGTTTGTCCTACATCCTAGTTCAGGCACTTAATCTGCCATCATTTCCTGATCTATATAAGTCTCCAAGAAGTCATATTTTTTTTTATTAAAAATAAAGCTACTTCAGTAAAATTAACTCTATGGTACCATTCTTAAAACACTACTGTAAGAGATGCTGTTTGTCACTGTAGCCCCCTGTGCTGGCCAATTAGGGGCTGAATGTCAAAGCAGCACGTAATGTGATCCTTGAATTTAGAGCACTTGATTAACCTTCTAGGGTCAAAGACTTCAGAAGCCCAGTACAGCAAGACTCACTATACGCTAAGTATCACAAACAACCACTGGGCAAACCCCATTTATTAAGAACTGTTAAAAACCTGAACCAGAGGTAGTGTAGGAACTAATTTTGCTCAGATATGGTTATTCATACAACACTGATAGAACTAGGGCAACCCGATCATTCTGCCTGCACAACTCATCCACAAGGGCACGTTCTGATCAACAGAAACTTGATTCTGCCAAGGAAGATGCTGCTGTGGTAGCGGCTCTTCCTTTGACATCAGAAATAAGTTAAACTCATAAATGTTTCCCTGCTTGCCAATTGCTTTAGCTCTTTTAAAACATCTATATTTGTTTAGGATCCTGAAAGGAAACCAAACTCCCTGTGCTTCAGGTCATGAAATTAACAGCTCTCCAGCTAGCCACAGGACAAAACTTGATATCTAGTCACTACCTGCCTATTGGAAGGTTTTATGAAGCACCTGGTTCTTTAGCAGATGCTGGACACATGCTTTGATCAAATCAACAAAGAGCAACTAATTGGGATGTAAATGCATGAACAGATTAGAAGTCAAAGCTTCTGTTTGCCCACCAACATCCAGATCCAGACACGCTGACAATCCCGCTGGAAAAGCTCTCAGAAATGGCATGTGTGTCTACTTAGACTAAAACGAAGCTTTACAAACACCATAGTTAACTTTATTTTTCATACACGCATTTTGCTCTCAGCATATTTGTACAGTCATTTCAAGATCTGGAGAATTATATACACCCCTCTTCATGCTACAACAACCTTAAAGTGCTGGCTCAATTTTTGACTTCTGTTGAAGCCCAAAATAATACTTTATATGTATATATAAAATATATATGTAAGTGCATCTAGGAAACTGCCACATTTTACTAAAATAACTTAGCAAAAGTGATGCAAGATACTTAGATCTGCAATTCGAGCATGAAACCATGGATGGAATCCATCTGCTGGCGGCAGAGAAGCAACACACTCCGACAAGCAGGTGTTACTTGGAAATTGCCAGTCTCACAATAATTCACCATTTACCACTCTGGCAGGGAAATCAAGTATTGCAAGAACAAAGGTACAACACAAAAGACCAAGACAACCAAAACCAAAGCACACAGTCCAACTCAGCAGCATTAAATTACACTCTGAAAAAAAAACACAACTTGGTTCAAGAGCCCATTTGTGGTACAAAAATCATTTTTTTCAGATTCAGGTAAAATTTATCTTTGGTCACAGTGAGGACAAGAATAATTGAACATACAAGTATTTCTCAAACATCAAAATTAAATCTTTAGAAATCTCCCTTCCCTGAATACATAGCTATTGTGAGTTACTTAGTAACATCAGTGTTGATCAGCTCCTTTGTGCATGTGAATTACTGAAGGTGCTTTCCCTACAACATAGATGCAGACTCAATGCACAAAGAGATTAAATGTTACAGCAGCTTTAGCAAACCCTTGCTGCGGAGGACAGACTTGTGTGCTGTCAGTAGCTCTCTGCAGACCTGGCAGCTCTTGAGCTGTCCCACAGTTGAAGATCAGAGTTCACCAGCTGCAAAAGGCTTTTACCAAGATGGACCAAAGAGGCTGAAAGAGCAAGAGGCTTCTTTCATCCTATCTACATGATCCTGACGGGAATGAAGCAGAACACGATCACAGCTGACTAGCTTCTATTTTGGTACAGTTTAGATATAAAACGGAATTGCAAAAGGTATGGCATTAACAACAAAGAAAGCATCTTCAAACAAGTCCGATGCTCTTATTCCGCTGGAAGTCACTTTCTTCACTAAATATATATTAGTTTCTGCTTTATGATCAGCATTCCTCATACTAGAAATTTGTGCTCTTATGCTATTCAACTGTTTGAGAGAGCAATAATTAGGAGGTTAAAAGCAGATTAATCCTATCAAACCAGACTGGTTTTATATCTTCACGTGCATTCCTAGATCACAGCTTTTCAGTGATCCCCTGTTAACCCATGAAAGCTGTCCCAGGGAACTGCAGGAATCTCTGAACAATCTGTCATCTTAGTCTTTGAGAGCTCTCAAAATACTTTTAAGCCTCACAGGGACCAGTGCTGTGTAGTTTCTTTTATGTGCACAGAATCAAAGCTGAGACAAACTACAGCCAGTGAAATTCCAGCCTCCCACCCTCGTTTCACAATTGAGCTCAGAACAAAAGAGAAAACACAGTCAAACAGAATAGCACAGGACACATATCCTTTAGCCGGAATTGGCTTTTCTTAGTGAAAGTTCTCCAGGACTGAGCCTTATCTTAGTGAATAAAGACATTAAAGACATCATGCTAGTGCAAAGCTATTTAACATTCATTAGCAGTCAACTTCTCCATACTGGTGTTAAACAAATTAATTTACTAGAAGAATCTGATGTTCTTCTTATGTTAGTTTATTAGTGAGATCAAGTACTACCTTTACATTCATAAGGAACAGGAAATTCAGATTGATTCACAAGAACAAGCTGCTAATGAAAAAAGAAGAGAGCCATATGCCAAGTTCCCAATGGAAGTCTGTTAAGAGCTTAGTATTCATTTTCATTATAGCATTCACACCTTTAATTATGGTTTTAGCTTTAGCATCATCCAAGATATGCTGTATGCAACTAGAAATCTTCTTGTATAAAAAGATTAAACAGCAGAAATAAAGATTCGTGGATTTCTCCTTTACTCAAAATAATCGCATTTCTCACGTGGACACATCAACCCTACTCAATTCTATGGTCCTCAGAACATTCACTTTCTCCAAAATCACACAGTAGCTTCAAGTAAGTCTGCAACTCATCTTCAGACTCTTGGCATGTTACTCTATTGTGAAGTGTGTTTTTTATTTTTTTAAATAGAGAAGCTATGAATTCATCTGTTTTTCTTCTTTTTAAAGGGGCAGATCAGGGAGTCTGGGAAAAAGAAAAGAGCAAGGAAGGGGGCAACTGAGATGGAATTAAGAGATTATACAGATTGATAGCCAGTGCGACTTTTTCTTCTTCCAATGATATAAGATATAAAGACAAGAATTATAAGGAAGCCAAGTGCCATGCCCACTGCGATGGGAATAAGAAAGTTCAGGTCAGAATCAGCAAAGCATTCTTCAGCTGCAGAAAGAAGAAAAACAAAAAAAGCAAATGAGAATAAATTAGTAAAGGAAATCAAGCATTAGAAACCAAAGAAAGCAAGGAGCAAACAGACTTTTTGAGAACTTACACTGTTATAAATACAATTATACAATTTAAAGTAAAATCAGTATTGAGTAAAGAATTGATAGAAAGATTGACTTCTTTAAGCATCTATACTACACACATAATTTGTATTGGTAACATACTACTTCCCATTTGATGTTTGATTTCATCTTCCTCTAACAGTTGACTCAGATTAGAAATGTGAGGACAAAACAGCACTCTGAGCATGCACTAGCTGATCACACCTCAGAGTTAACAGCAATATAGCAACAAAAAAAGAGACAGACTGGTATATCACTGCCTTGTCCAAGTGACTTCCCAAACCCTCAAGTCACCAGCACTTCTCTAGGTTCTAGACATGAAGAGAACTAACAGACAGCAAACCACATAGCAAAGTAGAAACTTACTGAAAACTGTAAGAGACAGTCAAGATACAAATGCTGAAAGCACTGAACGGAAAACACTGAAAGACTCTCTTTGGGTTGGTAACTTTATTTATTTTCAATCCAAATACAATAAAAAGGTTATATGCAGCCCTTACCAAAATCAACACAGAAAAAAAAAAAAAAAGAAGAGACAGCTGTAATGCTACAGTGGTTTTTAATATACAGGTTGTAAAATATGTGAACAACTCTTTGCTGATACAAACACTCATTCAAGGATTAGCAAAAAGCTCTGGGAACTGATTTCAAATTCAGGGATACACCTTAGACACGGAGGCAGGGCTTGGCATCCTTCCCATCTGCAAAGAGCCGAGCTCCATCTGCGTGGTGCCGAGATGGGATGTTTAGTAAGATACAACACAGCATCTGTGTACTGCCTCAACACAGCAAGGGTGCTTGACTTACACGCTTTTAATAAAGCCGAGCTCCTTATAGAACTTTTTTGCTTGAGTTTAGATTAGAGCAGAGTAAGTGTCATGCACACATCCAATGCTTTATCAACAGTTAGCTATTGATTTAAGTGAATATTTAAACCATTTGAGCCTCTAACTGAATCAGCCTTGGTTATGGGCAAGTTACTGTCTTGATTCTTCACAAAAGGCTACACAAAGCCTTTGGCTAAGAGAAGAGAAAACAACACACGGAAGTTCAGCACCTGAAAATACTAAACTTGGACAATCTGAAGGTACCTACTGCCAAGTAGAACACCCCTTGAAAGGGAAAAAAGAGGAAATACGTACCTTATAGAGTGAGCTAATTCAAAACATTCTGACAACTGAGAAAGCATTTAAGCATCTTAACAAGAGAACTGCATTTGACGTTTAGTCATCTTTCTTCTCTGAAGATCAGCGTACACAATTTAGCTACTCCACCATGGATAATGTGTCATTAATACTAAATACGAGTGAATTTGCTAAGGGTGAAAGGTACCCAGCAGGCAGTGACAGAAATTCCCTTTCTCTCTTCCTTAAAAGAAGGGGATCGCTGCAATACGCACCCCGCTATAGCACTGTTACAATGAATTCCCAGGATGAAAAGGGTTTAAAGTTTTGTACCAGGAACATTCCATCTTTTACCTCTCTCCAGTCTGCCACTGTTGTGGGCACACATCTATCCACATATTGTTACTGTACAACATTTAGAAGCTTCAGAGAAGTGTCTTCAAATGCAGAACCTGGTAAATGCACAGCACAACAAGCAGAGTCCACATCCTGGCCAGGAGAACAGATCTTTCGGCATATTTGGCTGTATGTGTCTCCATTCAAAATAATCAGAAATTTTGGCTCCCAAAATTTTTAGCCCCAGGATAAAATCTATCTTGCCTTTTAATTTCAATCATGAGATGCAACTGATAGCCCAAAATTTTGTTTTTATTTGTATATGCTATACAATAGAGAACAGTGTGGCAAATAAAAAAAAAAAAAAAAGAAGGCATAAATAGGCTGGAAAAGCTTCTTTTGAGGACTACTAGCACGGCATTGTTAAGCTAAAAGATCAGAAATCTTGGTATCTTAGAGCACAATTTTAATATTTAGTAAACTGTATATAAGGCACAGTCAGTAGCAATCAAAACAAACCATAGTCTATGATAGATTATACCCATTAATATTCAACATCCACAAGCACACAAGTTAAATAGTGTTTCCATAGACTAGAACAAATCTATTTTTATTCACATACTGCCACTGCATGTCTGTAATATTCTGAAATTACAAGTGTAGTATTTTAGAAGAACTGAAATCAATTCATCAATTGGTTATGAACTAGAACATATTCTCTCTGAGTCGTTAGGTTCAAGCAGAAACCACGACAATATATTCTGCATCATTTCTTAGCCAGGCTTGTTTTTAACAAACCGTTTGCCTGACCTGGCAAGCAAGCGGTCTTTTGAGCTCAGATTTGATTTTTTTTTTTTTTTTTTAAATGAAGTTAAACTTTCCCATTTTAAAACTACTCACACCCTGCATTACATTGTTTCTTGTAACCAACAAAGCCAGCCGGTAAGTACTAGGACAACCAATCCCCCCAAAACCGCTCCTACCGCTATGGGTACAACAAAGTTGCCTACCTCTGGGCTGCGGTCTTCAGCTAAATAGAAAAACAGCAAGTTTGGAAAAGAGATGTATTTAAATAGAAGTATTTAACACTATAATCTCCCTCTATTTAAAACAGTTATGCCTTTTGCCAACAGGACATCAGACAGTCATCCAGAGAACCCTAACCTCCTCCCCCTCCCCAAAATACAATAGCAATAGTTCTCCTTCCCAAAAATGAAAAACAGACTCCTAATTCTGTAGAATACTTTCCTGAAAAGCATATATTTACATTTTACTGTAGATTTATCATTACTATACACCACAAAGTCCAGTTTTCCAGTGTCTAGATACTCGCTGCAAGTCTCCAGGAGAGTCAACATGACTGGAGATAGAATTACAGTAAAACCAGTAATACTTTGACCAAAAAAATCAAAAAAGTCTTTACCCTTATTGCAGGACAGGAGTAACACCTGCTTGTTCCAAGTTTTGTCATTGACTCTTGCAGACTGACTGGTACGGATAATTTGATGGAAATCTGATGCTCGCAGTCCCACTGTAGCTTAAATTCACTTTGATCATTAGGAACATCACTGTTAAGCTCCTTAACAAAAGCCTATTAAATTATTTGTGGTTTTCTTCACACTAAAAAAGCTTCAGCTGACACTTCAGGAAGGTGCAAATGTTATTTTGACTTTGTGTAGCAGATAAAAAGGTAGCTTTAATATGATGAATACATAAGCAGTACCGCCTAGAATCAAGAAGGAAGGATACAGTAGACTACACTTTCCTCGTCATATGATCACAGAGTTCAGCTAGGCCAGAAAGATATACAGCAAAGGGAAGATTAATATCTCTCAATGCAGAAAAAAGTATGCAGTAGTACTGTTACCAGAAGAATGGGCAGTACAGCCACAATCAACACAGCTTCTACTATTGAGGATGAAGCTACTAACCAATTCCCAGAAGGCTCCCTAATACCTTCCCACTTTTTCTGAACGCAGAGACCGATTTCCTTTTCCAGGATGACTGCAAGAAGAAACTGAACTGTTCACAGCTGTACACCCATTTAAGATGGCTAGCAAAATCAATCATGAAAACATCTTGTCTGGATGGAGCTACAATTGACAAAGAAGTTTACAAGCAAATTCCTAATGATGAAGCAGGTGTGCTGTGTCTCATTAGTTCCCAAGATGTCTTCTGCTAGCAGATTGTACCCAAGCACACTTCAGAACGTGCTGCAGAACAAAGCATTAGAACTCTGCGAGGAGCACCTTCACCAGCTAGATATCAGAACCTCAGATATGGACTGACTGAAGTTGACCTTACTCACTTATTTTAAGAAAAGACAGTACAAGAGGTCTGTTTTCAAATCGCTTAAAAAATATTAACAAGTTTCCTTAAGAAATAGAACGATCTTTATTATTTAGAGCACATGTTGAACAGGTTGACAGTTCCCTACGGAGCAATACATACAGGAAAACTAGTGGTTTTATAACAACAGGCAGTCAGGTGAAACTTAAATGTTTTTTGAACCAGTTATCTGCACATCAGTCTAGGAGTACTTTAATCTCTGAGCCAATCAACTTGCAAATAGAGTTACAGGTTTTTGCAAAACATACTTCTAGTATTGTTAAATTTGGGGAGCAGTTTGCACTAATCTTCTGTATTGTCACTTCAAAACCATGCACAGCTCAAAAGTTTGCATGGTCAGATGAATACAGTCTGGTAACTACTCCTTAACAGAAATGCATGTGTAACTGGTGCCACTGAACATCAGTCACAAAAATGCTAAAAATCTATATGAACTTCTGCATCTGAGGGTATATTAATATGAAAGTCATTACATCCACTTTTTTTTTTTATTAAAATGGTAAGTCTTGAAGCCTGTTTCAGGATTAAATTTATAGTAGTTCCCCACTTTCATTAAAATGAATTTCAGTAACTGATGCAAAATTCAAGCTACAGTAAGCATTATCCACCCATGCTTGCTTCCTTGGCTAGTGTCATGAGTAAACTGTTTTTAACAAAAAAAAAAATTACTGAAAGAAGTGTATGTTATGATTTGTATACAGACATGCCACAGACATCTCTACAACCCTAGAAAACATTAATAAAACACTAAACCAGCTTTGATGCAGGCTAAACTCATTCTAAAGGGGGAGACAATGTTATGTTCATTAAATAACTAGTTTAGGCAGCTCATGTTATGACATATGCAAAAAAACCACACTTACCTATAAGTCTAGAAGACTTTTTTTCCATGCAGTAAAAAGTATGTATTACAGCACAAGGAGGCCAGAGGAAAGTTGTGCAGCAAGGGTTAGTGTCTACAGAGCTGCAGTTTAAGAACAGTCCAGTTGCACTGTATTTTTTTTAAGCTAATTATCCTTTCCATACAGCAAGGAAAAACAGGTGTTGTGGGTCCATCTCAGACTTGTTTGGCTTTTGCATTCTTAACATTAATAAATGCTACACAGCAATCAAACACAAAGTACATTAAACATTCAGAATGCCAATGGCGGGCAGTTATAATGTGAATTTTGATTGGCAGAGAACCATTCAAGATGAAGCTTTAAAGACAGCTCAAGCTGTAACAACAGGTACTGGCTCATTAAATGGAAGCATCTTTAAACAATGGTCATTCAAAGCAACAAGACAGACCAGTTCTGTGCGGAGTATGATATAAAGTTAAGTGCACTTTAAAGTTCTGGAATATTTAGAAAGGTTATTCCCTTTAAACTGATGCCAGCAAAAAAGCTTGCATTAATTTAGCAGAACTCTGCCTTAGTTGAGTATTTTAGACGATTGCCAAGGTATAATAAGCCATGAAGAATTCAGTGCCTAACAGTAACATTTTTTTTTTTTTTTTTGAAAGCATTTGGAAACAGCACTGAAGTCTTCCTATATATCCACCACTTGGCAAGTGTAGGTTACCCATTTTGTTTGTACAGCCAGAGTATAGGAATGATTCCTGAAACTACACCAAGGCAGGAGTAAATACTCAAATTCTGTCAAAAACAAGTAAGTTACTGCTGCCACTTCAAAAGATCACTTAATCACCAGCCTGAAGTTCAATTCTATGAAAAACAAAGTTGTTACTGGGCATCAAACAATCCTTGTTAAATACTATACGAGTCATAGTGACTAATGCTGCCAGCTTAACCCACAACTGTGACAACAACTAAGGAACACAGAGGAGAGAAGCAAGTACAAATTCTATGCTATTCTGGGAGTTGCCCAATGTACATCAGTTTAGAATGTGTTCTTGTTTCAGGCTACAATTTGTAAAAAGCAGAAATAAATCCTAAACACTTTATGGTTTTCACAAGATAAAATCCTTAGCCTAGCAATTCATCCAATATTTGACATCTTCAAAACAGCTATGAAACCCACGTCGTCGTCTTTGAGCAGGAAAACTAAAAACGTAGTTCTGCTTCATCTGAGATAAACGTTCTCTCTGTTTCTCAACTCCAGTTAGCTGTGGCTAGTAATTACTCATAGATTTTGGGTCTTTTTTGGACTTCAGAACTTGCACTTGCTTTGTTTAGAGTGAAATCAGAACAGGAATCACATTTAGATTCATAAAGTTTGATATCCAGCATAGCTTTTTCTTCTGCCAATTATGTAAGCAACCACTATAATGGCAATCAAGCCAGCAAGTGCAGCACCAACTACAATTGGGACTAGAATGCTGTCATCATCCAGCGAACACTCCTGGGCTGTAGATGAGAAAAAGGTTGCAACAAGGAATAAATAAAGACAGAATACTTGCCAAGTTCGGTATAAAAATCTATTTTCCTTAATATGTAGGTGTTAAATATATATCAAGTATTATTACATCTTTAAACTAAGAGAGAAAGAACTGTAGAGGTCTCACGGGTACATCTAGCATATGTTAAGCATTATAACCACTGTGAACACCTGATAAACTACAGTCAGCTAACGGTGTACAAGTTTTCATGTGCACAAATCTGTACTAGATGAGGGAGCAGCTATTCCTCTACTTTTAAGACAGAACCAGGCTCATCTATTTCATGCTTAAGGTGACTCTGGTGCTTTTACTCATTAAGAATAAAGTGATATAGATTTGGTATCAAGAACCTATCCAGAATGGAGACATGTTACAGTGAAATTAAGTAACTATGATTAGGAGAAGGAAGATGTCTGCAATTTGAACTGCAGAATGAAATGGGACTCTAACTCTTTAGAACATATTACGGCAAATACTGTTTACGCTGCATACATTTGGGGAGTTATCTTACCTCTGCCTAAAAACAGAAGTTCAAAAATCTGCACCCAATCTATTTGTCTATACATTAGTCTGGTAAGACTGTGCTGCAAGTATTATCATTAAGTACAGAGACCAGATTACACTAAAGATTAAGAAAGAGGGGATTTAAGCCATTCCAGTTTTCCCCAGACAACACCAGAGTAGTGCACCAAACAAACATTTTGAAATCCTTCTTTAGTTCTGGGCATCTGAGACTGCTTCTGAAAGAAGCTCCGTCAGTTCATTTTTATCCCTCAGCACTCCTGTTCCTTAGACTGACAGGTAAAAAGAAACAAAACACCTAATAGTATTACCAAAGTTCACTTCTGCTGAAGTTCTGTCCCATTTTCTTATACATTCCAGCTACAAAAAGCTCCACGTCATGATGATGTTAGATAACTTCTAACCTATTCTGCAAGACAATGCTTAAGTTCCTCTTCAGTGTCTCTAGCTCCTTCAAGTTTTATGAAGAAGAACTAACATACCTAGCAGACATTTTTAAAATGAGAACAAAGCTTTCCTTGAATGAGAGTCTCAGAACTTCACTTCATGTGTAAAAAAACCCAAACCAAACTGAACAATGGAATAAGAACTTCAAAAATAAAGTGCTTGTACCCAACACTGATGCTTTTTAGCAAATAAGAATTTTGCAAGCATTGCAAGAATTAACAAAAAAAAGAACTCTTACCTGTGGAAAACTTATTTGCCTTCACAAGGAATGGCTGAATCCATAGATTAAAAGTATGTAATTGAAGATGTTCATTAATCTCAAGAGTTTGTTCTTTTCGGCACATATAAGAACTACCAAGGAAAGCATCCCACTTGCTGAAATTGTTGTTATCTGCATGTGAAATGACTAAAGGGGGGGAAAAAAAAAGGAAATTTGCATGCCCACTTTAAATGCAAGAGAGTTGCTAATACAATCATAAGACTAACGAGCTGAACCTAGAGGGGCCAAATTTTCAACACTGACTACTCTGAAAAACAAGTTAGTCTGAAGTGTGATTGATCTCCTTAACCAAAAGAAGTCAGGCACTGAAGTTATTACAGTACTTAGCAGTAACCTGTCCTCCATACAGACATGGCATTAGGCTTTCCTTGTACCTCCACTCATCCTAACATTGCAGACTTGTAAGCATTTTAACTTTAGTGCCTTTTTAACTGCAGTAGCTGTGACAAGCAACTTTCAAAAAAAACGTACTTTTGATTTGGAAAAAAGTATGCTTTAGTTTTTGAAGGACTGGTATCTCTTCCCAGTGAGAGTTAAGTAGAAGTGGTTGGAAGATACAGCAGCATTTTCAAAGAGGACAACAGCTGGTTTAGGAAAACCAAAAAGCCTCAGAGTTGCTACAACTGTATGCCACAACTCAAAAAATTGTTACTGAAAACAGTTATAAAGAAGCCTTCTTAATTTATATATGTTTATGACAGAGAGACCCCATTAGCAGAAGTTTCAGGAAAAAAAGAGAATGATCCCACACTGTTAAAGTAACTCTTATAGCTATTTCTGTTTATTACTTGTGTTCCTAACAATTTAAAGACTTAAAGTAGGAAGTAACAATAAGCATTAACAGCATCGGAAAAAAATTTCAGAAGTATTTGATAGATACAGACATTGAATAAAAGCTTACACTTGCTTTAAGGCAGATACTATCTCTTACCAGAACCATTCAGACGGTTGAGCAGTGTAACATTCACCTCTTTCAGATAAAATTTTTGTACACTTGCGCTTGAATTTTTCTGTTTAAGAAGCAAGAACCAACTGTCAGTGTGTAATTCAACATTTTTAACTTCAAGAATACATCCTTTACAAAGACTAACACATTTACCACAGTCTTACATTTTCTACAACTAATCCAGTTCTCCATTTGCCTTGAGGCAGTCAGCTAGCCAGTTCCACTTCCTACCCGGGAACAGCCTACCACCAGCAAGCGACAGAAGGATTTTACTACGAGTGATTATCATGCAATGCTGTTAAAGTGGAAACTTAGTTTAAGATAAAAGAAGTTACTTACAACAACAAATGTGAAACTAATCAATGTGCTATTTCCATCATTCAGTTTCAGAGTAGCTGTTGTGTTGCCACATGCACCATCTGCACTAGTTGTCTTTGGATTGACGTTGATGAGAAGAGGCTGAAATACAAACATACCAAAGACATTCAGCTGCCATTAGGAATCCATTGTTTCAGTCACTAGTGGTCTTAGGCTAGAAGAGCTTGTCATGAAGATGACAGCAGGAAGATTGAGCCTGGCTACTATCAAACCAAGGCTACTTCAGTTATGTTTACATGCTGGCAATACTGAAGCAAACAAACTGCCCACTGAAGTCTTACTTTTTTATCAGCTTAATACAACCAGTTAGCTTTGGCTCCCTCTGTGGGGAAAGACAGTATCTGCAGGGACCAAGAGCCTTAAAAGCCAAGAAAGTTCCAGGCTTTTAACATCAGAGGTACTCCCAGTAACAAGTTATGTTGAATCCACGTAAGATTTTAAAGCTAGAAATTATGCCACAAAACCATTCTGCAGAGAGGTGCTATATAAAGTACTCAGAAGCAGTTCTGGACACCCAGCAGTGCACAAAGCAAATACCCTGTGCTCACATTTCATACCAAATAATTACAGCAACCTTTCTACTCTTCTAAAATAGAAGAGAAGCACCTTGTCTTGGGAAACATTCAGCTGCAGCCCCACAGTTGCCAGAAAACAAGTTTTATTTCCACTTTTAAGAGAATAGTTTCCTGTGTCTGGATTCTCCACAGGTTTGGGAGCAGTGGTTGGAGCAGGTGATGAAGTGGTGGTAGATGCAGTAGTTATATTGGCAATAGTAGGTGGAACAGTAGGTGCAGAAGTAGGTGTATCAGCACGACATCTAGACTCTGAAAAGAAATTTCAACCATCGTTTCAGAGCTGAAGTTTTATTAAAGTCTTATGACTTAGAGATCAATTCAATACAGACACCGATTTTTCTATTGAAATCTAGGCTTATTGGGAGTCTGATATGCACCAAGTCAGAACACTCAAACTCAGCACTGTGGCACAGTATTCCAAACAATTTAGCTAGCATTTGTTCTGAGAAATTCTGTAATGCCCACGTAGCATATGCAGTATGACTTAACTCCGATAGGCGGAAGTAAAACACACAGACAAAGATAGTTAAGTGGTTATGAAAGTGTGATATGTATCTGCTGCAGACAAAGTAAGCAACCCTACTAAGCTGTATGTACTCTTTTGAGTAGCTGAGCTATGAGATGAGAGAACAGGCTCTGGACTATTTAAATGAAACAGCAGAGGCTACTACTGAAAACGGAAAGCAGTCAGTTAACAACCTTGAAGCTCAAATGATCTAGTCAGCAACAGTAGTTCTGAAGTGCTTATTTTTAATACCCCAATTAGTAGAATAAACACTTTATTAGACTACCACCTTGGCATGGGAACAATCTACTTTACTATATACTACTAAATCTATCCTACTAATCTATTTTTGCAGAAACAAGGAAAGAAGTACTAGAGAATATTTAGATTAATATTATTGAACACAGCAAATCTTAGAACTGGTGGATTTTTTATTATGGGACTTTGCTCCCTGCACTAAGGAGCGATAGAAAAAAGCTCATTCACAAATTGAAATGCTCACCTTTTTTACCAATTGTGCCATTCTCAACAAAAGCCTGCACAGTAACATTCCAGAAAATCTGTGTTACATTTTCTGCTTCAAAAGAGTCGGTATTCTGACACACGAAGACATTATTCAGTTGAACTGGACGCATAGTATCCTTTACAACAATAGTAATTGGTCCTACAAATAAGCAGAAGTATTTTAATGCCTTATGAACTACAAAAACATTCGTAGATAGTGTTATGTTTGATGTAATTCCATAGGACAAAGAGTAAGAGATAATTATGTTTAACAATCCTAACCTCTCTTGAATGATTTACCTGTGTGTCCTGACCTGAAATGCTAAGTAATGCAGAGAAGTAATCAAGCTTCCAAAACTAGATAACCCATTAGAAAGGTGAAGTCTTAAGCTTTAATTTAAGGGAAAAAAATTCTATTATTAGTAGGTATTAGGAGACGGAAAGCCTAACACTGTAATTGCTTTGCTAGTTGGAAGGTCAAGTAGCACATACTAAAATGAATCTTCCATATGCCTGTTGTCTACTAGCAGCACCAAGGCAGTTCAAACAGCTAACCTTCCTCTTCCATTCCACTTAAAGGAATTATACATTCAGTGAAGCTAACCAGGCTGTATTTTTATCCAGGAGGCAGGTATGATGAACAACAGTTAGGGAGTATATGGCATAGAAGTCATTAGATACATTATTAGTCTTTCTGACTTTGAAATAGCCAACCAAGGTCAGGCACATGGGATCTGATACTTGGGGCTGGGATTGTTTCGCAAGTAGGATTCTGTGCCAAACATTACCTTTTCTTTTAGCATCAGGAAATACAGCAGTATCATTGGTATTGTAGGTAAAGGTGATGAAGTCCCCCTGGTAAGTTTCGTTGTTTTTTGTAAAGTTAACGCTCCAAGAGTGGCCTTCTCCAAACTGCACTGCCAGAAGTGCAGCCTGTGTGTCATCGCCACAGATGCTTCCATTGTGTGTCACACTGGGTGACAAATTCAAGGTTGTGTTTTTCTAGAAGAAAAGGGTAGTTTTAAATATTTTCACAGATAGCAGTTCTTCCCCAAGACAACATTATAAATTGTACACAAAATTAGTGAGATTATTTTAGGTTATTTTACAAAATTATGAAAAAGGCACCCTGACATCTGACTTCAAAAGGAGCCGTATCAGATTCAAGTACAGAAGCACAAGTCTAACTTGGCTGTAAATCTGGACTGTGCTGAGCTGCAATTTACATTTTCTGTTTGGACTAAGACCATTACAACACTGATACACAAAAACCAAGAAGTGTGACCACTATGACAATTAAGTAAGTGTAAGAGGGCACTTCCAGTTATTTGTATTATTAACTGAGAACATGTGCTTTCTTTTGAAATTAATATTTAGGAATACTCTTAACAACCAACTTAGTAAAAGGAAAAAAAAAAAAAAAAGCAAATAACCAAATGCACTAGGTAAAAGGGTGTACCTAAAACTTTTACCCAGGACAAAATAGTTCTCTACAAACATTACCTGCAAATACTTACATAATCACTACTGTTTGTTTCGTATTTTATCAAGAATCTCATCATCCATTTTGCATACAAGCATGTAGCATTAGAGGCATCCTTCACATCTACTTCTACTGCATAGGACTGGAAAATACCTGTAAGATATGATTATTAGCTATTAAGATACTGGTTTTACTTCAATTTCTAGAACCACCTAAAAGGACAGGCCATTACAAAACAGTAAATTATTTCAGGTGTGGATTTGATGTGCCTGACACTGAAAGAACAGCTAGAGTCCTAAAAATTATTAAAACTAGGAAGCACACCATAATGTTATCAAAGTTAGATAAAAATGGAGAATGTTTTCTAGTCCATTTACCTGACAAAGACTAATAATCTAAATGAGTTTTCTGGTTACAAACTGAGTAAACTAAAGCATATGAACACAGCACTTAACCAAATACTGCTTGTAGGCCAGGGACTTCCTACCCCTTTATCTGTTTCATCAGGGGTATGACTCAATTTGACCTCTAAGAGATGAGAGCAAGGTGCATTCACTGTGTTTCCACAATTTCTGGCTCAAAAGACAGGGATGTTCAGATTCCCTTTGCATTTCCAGATAACTTTTGACAGTTGTCGGATTTTTCACCCCGTGAATCTCAGCAGAGGCACCGCCAGTTTTGACGTGCGCCGTTGTGGCCGTCGGCCCCCACCGCTCCGCGCCGCCCGCCTACAGGGAGGGCTCACAAGAACCCCACGCCCGGGCAACCAGCCGCCCGGACGCGCCGCTCGGGTGGGTCAGCGGCAGGCTGTCCGCCCCGGCCCGCGGGTGAAACACACGCGTGGGCCGCCCGGCTCGCACCCGGGCCCGGGGGAGGGCGCCGGGCCGGCCCCGCAACCACATCCCGGCGGCGACACCACCAACAGGGTGTCCCCCCCCACCCCCCTCACTCCCCTTCTACGGGTGACAGCGCGGCGGGGACACGGCCCGGCACCGGCTCCGCCCCCGGGGAAGGCGCCGCTGGGCCGAGGCCGCCCCGGGCCCGTCAGGGCCTCGCAGCGGGCAGCTACGCCCCCCGCCCCCCACGCGCGCGTGCCCGACTCCGCGTCACGTGCGCGGCGCAGCAGGGGGGGCGTTGGAGCAGCAGGCGCGCCCGCGGGGACACCTGTCCTCCCCCCCCCACCCCCAACCCCGCAGGCCCCGCCACCCGCGGGGCTGGAGACGGTCGCCGCCCCGCTCACCGGAGGAGCCCAGCAGCAGGAGGAGGAGAAAGAGAAGACGCGAGGACGAGCAGCGCGGTCCCATAGCCCCGGGGGCGGCGGGGGCACCGGGCGAGAACGAGGGGCGAGCGGCAGGGGCGAGCGGGCGCGATAAAAACCTCGCCATCGGTCATGTGAGGGGAGGGGCGGTGCCGCCCGCCCGCCGCCAATCGCCGCGCCGGGGCTCGATTCGATGGCTCGCGGACGGGACGCTAGGCTCGCAGCGCCGCGGGCGGGCGGCTCGGGGCGGGTCCTGCCCCGCCGACTCGAGCGGCACCGGGCAGAGGCCTGTGCCCGGTGCCCCTGCCCGGTGAAGCGGTGGCCTGCTGCAGGTTGCGATGTGGGGCCAGCGGCGCCGGGCGGGCCTGTCCCGGGGAAGCGGCCCTGCTTGAGGGCCGGGGCGGCTGTCGGTGCGCTGCCGGTGTTTCCATCCTCCCACATCGCCCGGGGTTAACGAGGGAGGGACGCTGGCTCTCTGGAGGACTGTACCTCCGCGGTGACTGGGCAGAAGCCATCCCAGTGATGGCCTCTGTAAAGCGGGGAGGGGGCTGGCACCAGCGCGGAGGCTTTGCCGCGTTTTCGCGGATGCTGAAGTGCAAACCGCGGGGCAGAAAGAAGGTGGGAGAAAGCATCTGGCCTGGGCAAATGGGGGAGAAAAGAGCCAGCGGGGTGGAGGGGAGTTAAAGACAGTAGTTGACAAAAAACCTGGTGGAGTTGAGATTGGATGGAGGTATAAAATGTGATGGACATTGGATTACATCCCAGAGAATACTGATTGGGGAGGGAAGGGAAGAAAGGCTGGCTTGGCAAAGAAAGGGGAGATGGGGAAGAGATTGAGGCTGGGAGACAGCAAGGAAAATGGCGGGCAGATGCTCAGCTGCCTGAGGAGATGGGAGCTCTAGACTCGGCGGGGAAGGACCCTCCTGGAATAGCGTACTCCTGTTTCTGATGCTGTGGGAGAACTGCAAATAGTATTTTGAATCATCAGGCACTGAGAGACATGTCCAGTCATGGGGGAAGAAAATGAAAGCTCTTGAAGAAGACAATAAAACACATTGACCTGATACAGTGAGACAGTGGGAGCGTAGATGGTGCTCACAGGAAAGCAGGAAGCCTTGAGGAAGTTGAAATAATGCAATTTCTGATTAAATGTCAGTTAAATACTCTCAGTTGTATGCTTGCAATAGTGTACTTTGCCAAAGAGTATCACAAAACCAAACCTGTCAAGTCAGGATCACCACTGCCACCAGCACACCGTACAAATGGGGATTCCACGCACAAATGCTTGTGTGGTCAGACACATTCATTGCTTCTTTGCATTTCTTTTTGTGCTTAATAACTGAACCTAGAACTGGCTTATCATGAGTATTACATACCTGCACATGCATCTGCATCAGTATTGTTGCATGTTGTCGTGGTTTGACCCCAGACAGCAACTAAGCACCACTCAGCCTCTTGCTCACTCCTACCCCTGGGGAAGAGAATCAAAAAAAGTAAAACTTGTGAGTTGAGATGAAAATGGTTTAAAAACTAAAATAAAATAAATCTAACAACAGCAACAATAATAATAATTAAAATAGTGAAAATATAATAAAAAAGAGAGAAATAAAACTCAAGAAAAGACAAAAAATGTATGATCCAATTGCTTACTGCCTGCTGACCGATGCCTGAGCAGCAACCCACCCCCTAGCCAGCTCCCCCCCATTGTATATTGAGCGTGATGTTCTATGGTCTGGAATATCCCTTTGGCTAGTTTGGATCAGCTCTCCTGGCTGTGCTCCCTCCCAGCTCCTTGTGCACCTGCCCACTAACAGAGCATGAGAAACTGAAAAGTCCTTGATTTAGGATAAGTGCACCTTAGTAAAACTTAAACATCAGTGTGTTATCAACATTATTCTCACACTAAGTCCAAAACACAGCACTGTACCAGCTACTAAGAAGAAAATTAACTCTGTCCCAGCTGAAACCAGGACACATGTGGATATCAAAATTCATGTCATTTCAAAATACTTGGAGTAATTTTTTATTTAGCCTTTGGGCTTAATTTACTGAAAACCTATATGAACAAATAAACTTTATATTTAATAACTGAGCCAGCACTTGCTGTAGGCTGTGGGGGAGCATCCAGTAACAGCAGCGTAGATGAAACCACAAATTCTGAAAGCAGCAAGTCTTTCGTCTGTCTCAGCTCCACCGCAAAGAATGGGGCATTTCAGAGGCTAGGGAGAGTCCTGCTGCTGGGGCTTTTACATTTCCTCAGGCTTCACTGTTTTATTGCAAAGTTCAGTTTTGAAAAAGTGATCTCTCAGGGAGTTAGGAGCAATTACATTAAGAGGATTTGACTATTAGGAGAGAGCCATTGAATTAGACTTTAATTAATTGGAGGAGTAGAAAATGATTGGTATGTTCCAGGCAGTTTTTGTGGTGGAATGTCACCTTTTGTATCAGCTGGACATTTACTTCAGGATATGTAGCTTTATGTATAAACATTGGTATGTTCAAACACCCCCTTGTTCTGAGTGAAGAACCCTGAATATTTTGATCTCTTCCTTGCACGTAGGAAATAGGCTGTAAAATGGCTAGATGTTCTGCAGACATAAAAGGAAGAGTGATTACTTTGTTTCCTGTACGCCAATTTAGTGAAGCTCGAAATGAAATCAAATGGTAGTTATCATAACAAGCAAATCCGTTTCTGTTTAATAACACAGAATAAAAGTGGCATCTGGTGTGGAATTAAAAGAACAGTATAGTTTATATAATTTAGCCTAATAAAAATTACATTGTTTTGCACCAGAAATATAATCATTAATGTCAGAACACAGATTATTCTCTTTCTTTGCACCTGGTTTCTTTGCCCTCTCCGTATCTTCATACCTGCTATATAACTGCCTTCCACTGACACACTGTGCTATTACATCATTTTACCGTAATCTTAGCAGGTGTGCTTTTTATTCAGAGGTTTACTTCTTGCTTGCTGTATCAATCAAGATAAATGAGAGGACAGTTCCTGCCTTGGAGCTATGGAAAAACAATGTATAGGCTCATCCTGCTTTCGGTTAAGACAATGACGAACTGGCTATAGGAGTAGCTTAATAGAAAGATGAAGTACGAATTCAGAGACTGTGAACTGGTCGTTTATTTTCATTGTCACAGAATATCACAGGATAGACTGACGTGCCTGTGGTGTGTATACGTCAAGGCTGAGTCTAGCCACAATGCGGGAAGTGATGAGGCAGCCACAAAGGCTGCCCAAAGGGTTTCAGCCCTTGCGTGGCATCAGTGGGGAGACCAAAGGATGAAATTCCACGTGCAGGGAGTTGGTACAGGCATCTTGCATTCACGTACAGGATGAAGTTTGCCCAGCAAAGCCCACATGCACCAGCCATCTGAATGCATTAAAAGGTTATTAAAAACCATGTACTCTTGCATTAGCACAGTGATGGTCTCCTCTTGCCCAGCCAACTGACAGAAGCTTGGTTTTGGCACAATTCTCCCTAAATAGAGAATTTTGATGCAGTTGCCAAAGCCTATCTCCTGTTTGTAGCTCTGGAAGGAGCAAAATGAAACTCCGTTCCTCCCTCATCTGACAAATCCTCCAGCTTTCCTTAGAAAAAAGATTTAATGGTTGGGGTCAGATGTTGTCTAATTCCTCTTAAATTCCATGGAAAGTTATTGTAGTCACTACTTGTAGGGTTCAACCTCTAACAAATATCCACTGCATCATATTTGTCATAAGTAATTTCTTTGTAGATTGTGGCAGTCTCAAAGTATGGTAAAATTTATGTGATAGTTGGACTTCAGTAATGTAAGATCAAACTCGTATGATCAGCTGTTTTCCTTTAATGACAGAAGTGTAAATGATTGTTACCATAATGCAGAGAAAATGCCTTACCCTTTTGCTTAATAGAGATAAAAGATTTTGCATTTGGCATGATTTTTGGAGCTGCTGATGGATGGTAAGCTGATCCTAGTTTTCTTAGACATTCCTTATGTTTGTTGCTAGATGTGAAAATGTGGACGTTAATGTTTCTGTATGGCACTACATTTTTACTGCATGTTATACTTAGTCTCATGTCAGTAGCTTTAAGAAGGTATTGACATGTAGTGAGAACACATATGCAAAACGATTTTTTTTTTAAGCTTTGGTTCATCAAGGAATATAAATTAATGCCTAATTTCAAATGCATAGACTGTTCTGTGACTTTCATTCACATCATATTCTTGATGTCCAGCATATGCTTAATCCTTTGCAAATCCTCTAGCGGTTTCAGCTGGTTAGATATTATATCTTTAATCAAACTTTTTTTAACCCTGGGACTTGCAAAAATTGATGAATGTGTGTGGTCAGAAGCAAAGTGTTAAGTGTTTAATGAAGCATTGAGAAACTTAATGTTTCTGATCTCTGGTGCAGAAGACGGCTTGCGATGAAAAGAAGAAAGAGCTAATACCTAGGACATGCAGTAATCACTACTTTATTGTAATGTATTTTGATTCATTCTTTTAGATGTCTCTTTAAACAACAGGGAATTTTCTGTATTTTTTTTTATCAGGGACAAGATTATGGCAGATCCAATTCTTCCTTTCCAGGAGTCAGAGAAAGGATTTGGTACCATTTCACATGGGAGGGATGGAGAGAGGAAGAGATTAATGCTGGACAGAGATCACAGGTTCACCTGGCAGAGGGGGTGGACCCGCTTGGGACTGTGCCAACAACTGTGAGAGTTCCAGCTTTTCACCAACGTTTTCCTTCTCATGCAGCCCCATTTTGTAGCCTGTGGAATAAGGATTTGCTGTTATCCAGAGACCATAAAACCATACTTTGGCCAGCACAGTGTGACATCTGTGGTGCTTCAGCTGCGTGTGTTAGCCTGCTCAGTGGTAGGAAAGAGATGACTCCCGCTAGCTCTGCTGTGCTGGCTCTGAAAATCGCTTATTCTCTGAACCAGCGAAAGCTGCGGTTCACTATTGCTCTGAGCAGATGGCAGTGTTTCTGAGCTGCCGGGTTTCTGGAGGAGGTGGTGGTAGGAAACCAAACCATTAAATGCTGCTGCAGGAAACTGCTGAGTCAAGACTGGGACAATCACGTGAAATGCCAGAAAAAGAAACCGTGGTGGGGAGGTGAAGAAAGCAGAGAGCAGGTTGCAGCAGACAGCTGCAAAACTTCCTGCAAAAGTGCTCTGAACTGCCATGTTGAGACACAGCTGGAAAAACACATTCCCAGCTTCGCAGGAAAAAGCAAAGGCACAGGCGGCGGTGTTTCATCACAGGCCTGTTACACAAGCACAACTCTCATATGTGCAACTTGGTTTAATCATATGCTGACTGCCTGGGGAGGCGAGAATGTGGCAGGAGCTGGGCCGCGACGTGGTGCTGGTACAACAGCTGCTCCTTCACAACCGGGCACCCTCGATGCTGCAGGATGCAGGGCGAGATGGTTCCCC